TTTAGTAGATGTGGACACAGGCTCAAATAAATATATGTATGTATGTATGTATATGTATGTATGTATGTATGTATATGTATGTATGTATGTATGTATGTATATATATATATATATATATATATGTGTGTGTGTGTGTGTATGTTTATGTGCACCTACACCTGCATTAATACTTGGTATTAGCTGTTCTTGGCAGAATTGGTAAAGGGAATATGAACTGATTTAGATGCCCAATATTATCCTAGTTTCAACCATTTTATGCAAACTGTCCATGAGGACATTTTATAAAGAAGTTAAGGAAAATGCCAGGAATCGCAAATGATTAAAAGTGACAGAGGATCAGCATTGCTTATAATGCTTATAATTGATATGATTATCACTATGAAGTTTTGCCTGCTAAGGAAGAATTGCCTAGTCCAAGATAAACATTCACATTTTAATTTGGAAAAATGTTACATGGTAAGACCGGATAAAAATGGGTACAATGCTTGGAGGAGTGTAGTTTATGTTTTAAAATAAATTTATTTACTGTCGATCGTGGTGGTAGCATCATGCTGTGCCAGTGGAGCAGGGGAAGTTGACATGGATATAAACATGGAAAAAGAAAAACTATCCAAGTTAAATTTCATACAGATCAGAAAGTGGGTGTTTTTACTTGGTCAATGATCTTTTCCAAACCCCTAACCTCAACTCCATTTGGCTTTGGTGGATGTGGTGACACAAAGCAGTCAGGTTAAGAAAACCCTAGCAAGGAGCAAAGATGTGGCCTCTGTGGACAAAACTGGCCAAATATTAATGGAGATGTATGTATATACTTGAGCCTATATCTACAGTTTTTGATTCTTTTTGTATCAGAAAAAATCCAGAATATTCTTTATGTGGATCACTATTAGCTTCCACAAAGTGGTTGCTAGCATTCCAATTTAACCTATTGCACGTGATTACGTTTAAAAAATTCTAATTAAGTTGTTTAGTGTATAATCATTCATCTCTAAAAAAGTGAAAATAAATTATTTGAATTGGATGATCTGAATGTTTGCAAAGTGGAAATTGCTTTCAGATGAGTGTATATAATCTGATTGGAACTGTGATGTAACCATCATGAGGAAAAACAGGCTTTAGTTTGAAATATTGTCATGATAATAAATTTCTTCTAAACTTCTAGTTGGTCCCTCTGTGATTAATTATGAGCCTTTAATCTGATGAACTTCAGAAGCTTTGTAACGAAGTTCTCTTAAAACTATAATCTTACGTTTAATGTACAGTTATAGTCAAAGGTTTTTGTGAAACAAATATTTTGTGGTTTTAATATTTTCATTTCTGGGATACTTATTATTGATTATTTATCATATAAATATATACATCAAATGAAAAATAGTCAATATAAGGACCTTCCACTCTAGGCAAATCCTTCAATCTTCTCTTGATCTCCGCTTGTCTAAGGAAATGTATGGAGAATGGATTCATTCATTCTCTCTGGTATACTAACTCCTAACTAATGGTGACACTTATTCTAGTTGATCAATCATTGTTTGTGGACTTCCACTCATCTATTATATATATCTATTGGGAAATAAACTGAAAGGAGCTTTGGTTTAAACTAATAAAGCTACTCACTTCATGCCTGATTTATATTTGATGGCTGTTGATTTAAATGCTTCATGTAGCCTTGGTCCATAAATGTCAATAACCCGACAAAAGGATTCAATCTGTCATGCTCATCTCAACGCCTTACACAGTCTCAGAGAGGGGCCCAAGGCTGAGAAGCAAGTATAGTGACGGGACAAAAAGGAATATTCCTGGCATTGGGCAGTTGCTTTGAAGGACAGTTCTGGTAAGCCAGATCTATAAAAAGGCGGCTCGTTTCTCTATCTAGTTAGAACAGATTAAACACCATGTTAAAACAGTATCTGCTCTCCTTTGCTGGGATTCAGTATATGCTGATTTAATAAAGATCATATAACTCTTCGTTAATAAAGAATATATTTTTTTTCAAATTAAGACTGCAAACAACTGAAATCTAAATAAGTATTTTTCTCCTTAAAATTATTTATTTTATTCTTGAATTGAGGAGGTAAGTTATACACTTTCCCAATGTAACAAGACAATTTACATTTTAAATAAGAGAAGAAAAAATAAAAAAATTGCACTGCCTTATTTCAAGAGCATGTTATTTTAAGAGAAAACTCCATTGGCAAATCATCTTATTCACCTTGTCTAATCAAGGCTAAATATGCTTCACTGACATTTTCACTTATTTCAAGAATGTTTTTGCAGCGAACACCCTATGCTTTTTAAGAACTGACCACAGCTTCTAAACATTGTAAAAAACACAAGACTCATGGTTGTCGCTGCCTTTCTTTTTCTTAAAGGAGCTTCCAGACGCCCCAAATGGTGAGGATTCACAACAAAAATTTCCATTTTTGCCCACTGTATACTTAAGAATTGAACTCTGTGCTGCCCAGTGGTGTCAAAAGTACACACATTTGTTACTTAAGTAGAAGTATAGATACTACAGTTTAAAAAATACTGGTAAAAGTTGAAGTATCAGCTTGACCTCTTTACTCAAGTAAAAGTGTGTACAAATGTGTGCTCCAAAAACTACTAAAGTATAAAAGTATAAATTAACCTTTAGAAAAAACAGCCAGATGCCACTATATGAATTAAAAGCTCAATTTTTTGACTATTTTCGAAAACTTCTTTGAGATAGGGCCAAGGATGAGGGAGGTCTCGTCGTTCTCCGTCTCCATCTCCGGATACGCTTTCGCCTGTGTCCAAACTTTCAGACATTTCAACATCTTTTTCCATATCCAACATTGTAGCATGGCATAGACAATTCATGCTTGCACTTTGAAGAACACCTGCTTGCTTCTGATGATTTCCTTTAGCTAACCAATGAGTGTTTGCCTTATATGACCCATCCAATTACACTAGTTTTCACTAGATGTGGATGGCGCCAATGATCTGCATTGGATGGCCACATGACTTGAAATAAATATTTATAAACATTAAACCGAAGCCAAGAGCAAAGAGTATCGTTTGTTCTAAAAATGTAAGGAATAGAAAGTACAGATACTTGTGTGAAAATGAAATCAATAAAATTCAGAGGTAGGAAAAAAAATAAGTAATGGAGTAAAGTATAGACACCTAAAAAGTGTACTTAAGTACATTAACAAAGTATTTGTACTTTGTTACCTGACTCTTCTAGTGCTGCCTGTTTCTATTGGATTAAACTTGCTAAGTGAGGTTTACTCTGTTGCAGGATGCCTGTTCTGGTTTTAATTTAGGATAAAAAAATATATACTGTATTGCTTAAAGTTTTTGCTCCCTGATTTTACCTTTCCCATTAACTTTAACATTGACATTCCAATTTTAATCAATAGGGTTTGATATGAAGTTAGTTCACCCTCGCAGCATTTAGAGCTTTAACTCGTCTGGGAAGGTTTCAATATTTAGGAGCAAATTTATGGGTATATTTTCCATTCTTCCAGATGCACATTTTTAAGGTAATAGACTGATGTTGGACAAGAGGGTCTGCTCTATTTCATCCCAAAGCTGCTCTACAGATGAGGCCAGAACCCTGTGAAGACCATTCAAGCTTTACTATTTACCATTATTTATCACACAAATTGTAAAATTGTTGTGCTAAATAAATCCCCCAGGTTGGCTAAGAGAGAAGAGAACCAGAGTTTGCGTCTCATTTTATTTTTACAACCTGTTTTGGGTCAGATGAAATTCTCTCATACCCCACTCCATCCAATGCTGTGCAATGCCCTTAGTAGTGTATGCCTTTGGTTGCAGCTGCTCAACAATGGAAACCAATTCCTTGAACAGTTTTTTTGAGCTAATCTTTAAGGCCACATAAAGTGTGGAGATCTGTAGTGAATGTCTGAAAGCTTCGTTAATATTATAAAATTTCATGACAGGGAATCCATGAAAACCTGCTCACAAATGTTTGTAGAAAAGTCTCTATGCCTAGGTGGTTGATTCTGTACATGGTGGCTGTGAAAGTGATTGGAACATCAATTATTAGGTTTTCTGTTAAGTACTTTTATAGCATAGCTATGATTTATCAAACCATGCATATAATAAATGCGAACAATCAGCACCCTGCTCTTATATATAAACATTATATATAATCTAGGACTAAGCAGCCTCAAACTTAAATAATCTCTAAAACTAAAAATGATGCTTAATTATTCCACAGTAATTAAAATAGTGCTTTTATTTAACCACATGTATTCTCTAGAAGAGAAAATCCCATGTTAAAAGTAGTGACTGTTAAAATTATATCTTATAAACCTTTTTGTATATTAAACCTCTATAATTTATAATTGCAATAAAGTTAAAAAGATCCTTAGGACATTAATGCAGTTTGCTAATTCATTTCCAAGCCATTCTGGCTGTGGTAAATTTATTTTGCCCAGTTTTACCAGATAATGTTTATTCTGTAAAACCTAATCTACATTTACATAAATTAATGCATTAAATCTTCATTTCAGGCAATTATTTCTAACTTTCACTTTATTCCAGCAGATGGCACTACACTCCCAATCAAACCAGGCAAAAACATGTCATATATGCTATGCAGTTGAAATAAGAGCTTCTGTTGGGTACTGTATGTTAGATGGGGGGAAAAAGGGGGGGGGACTGCAATGATTTTGGGGAAATCATCCATCTCTGTTTTGTGATTTTGCTTTTTGAGATTAAAGCAATACACCCATTTGAGAATACAGCAGTTTACCAGCACACACAGTAAGGCAACTAACTATAGTAGATGCAACATGCTAATTGGTTTGCTAAAGAAATATGCTAAGAAAATCTTAATGCCCTTACATTGCAAACATTATAGTTTTAGATTAATGTTTCTTTTAACTGGATATTTGAGGTTTGATCTGATCCAACAAAAGCAAGTTATTTCTTGTATCAAGGGCTCTGGGCGGTTTAATTCAAAGATATACCTTTGATTTCCCACATTGGATGCTTGTAGGTTTTTATTTCCAACCAGTCATAGATACAACACGGCCATGTAGGTTGAATATTTTTTACATTTAATACAATAATACATGCCCTTGTAGATATTCATATAATTATGAGCTGGATATGCACATAACTGTCATCACAGAAGAAGGGATGCTGTTTTCAGTAAATTAAAAGCAAACCTGTCACAGTGAACTTCCACTAATTAGCATATTTTCCCCTAAATCACAACGTAAACAGTGAGAGTGATATACATGTTGCAGGAGTGCACAATAAAACTGTTCGGCCATCCAGTGTATTTCATTACCTGTTTTATCTCCCATTCCCTGCCACCGTAGCTAACGTCTGCCGTACCTCAGGTCTTGTGCATTAAAGTGTGGAGGTGTTCCCGCTTGACATTCAGGAGTGCAAAAGCAATTTGTGTAAAGCAAACCAGCAGACTCTTCAACTCTCAATTGTATTAGTAAGCACTTTCTCAGTGAAAAGGTGAACTAATAAAGCTTTTACATAGTTACATTAGCAAAAGCCTGATTACGCTCCACTAAATTGTGTCAGTTTTTTTCCTTCTTATGATGGATAACTAAAAATTAAATCCAGATATTGTTAAATAATGATTCTTGAAATCTTCTACTGAAAGAATAACTGTTTCAGCATAAACAGCACACATTCATGATTAAAAATGTACATTTAAAAACAGAAAGCCAAGAAACAAATAAAGTTACAGATAAAAAGACACATACTAGGAAAAACTAAAAGTCTGAAAGACGATCCACAGAGCGGCAAAGCAGTCAAAGCTAGGATCTAACTGACACATGTTGATTAGCCATGCCGGTTTTACTTCACGTGAGTGATTATTCATTCCTAGGCTACAGATGTCAGCTATTTAATAGATAATATATATTTCTGGCTACTAAAGACGAGAGTACACATAGTTTACACAAAACACGACAGCAGCAGTTACATTTGGTGTCAGCACAGTCTGTTTTTCTGTTTGTGACATTCTGACCACCGGATTCAAGGGGAAAAATATGATGGATACATTTTGAACTGTTGGTGAAACAATGGTGTTAGAGCCAGTGTGCGAATTACCGCTTTGTTTTTATTCTGTGCCCCTACACAGACAGCAGTTGCAGTATTTTTTTTTTTTTTAAAGGTTAACCATTCTTTACCTTAGATAGTGTTACTCTGTTTTTCCTGATTGTTTTCTTGTTCCCCTATCACATTTGAAAAGCGAAAGAAAAACGACGAGTGAATGAACAGAAGACTTTCTTTGGTCATAAAAGGGCAAAAGCAACTTCAGAAAACAACGAAAAAGACTTAATAATATGAATAAGAAAAAAATCCTTTTGCGAACAAAAGTTTGTCTTCCAGGACTGAAATCGGAAGACTTGTTGTGTCTCTGAGGTGCACACTTGGATTGCATGTGGCGAATGCATAGGAATAGCAGGAACTCTAGCGTGGACAGAGCTGGGGACCGGGGAAAGGAATTAGTCATTCATTGCTCTTCCGCTTCTGTTTCATCTCTTAAGTTGTCCTTGTTTTCATGGTAGCAGTGAAAGAGTTGGTAGAGTTGCTACTATATATCACGGGCTGCTGATGCTTTCCCAGGTTAGTCCTGCCACTCAATGAGGACATCTTTGTGCTGCCCAGATCCTTCCACCACTGCTTGTCTGTAGGTGGAACCTTTATGCATGTGGGTCCTTCAGACAAAAAGAAAAGATAGAAATCAAGTTTTATTTGTAGTGAGAATTGGGGCTGGACCAGACAAATTACTTTTGGTTTGTTTTAATTGAGTTTCAGGGTTCTTAAGAATTTGGCTACTTTCTTGATTTTCTTTGTATCCTTTCGATGTCTATGCTACCCTATCTGTGTGGGTATTGGGAGCACTGGTATCCAGGATACATCTTTGAAAGATTACTTAGACTTAGACTTCTTTATTTGTCATTTTGTATGCACAGAGTGCATACAGAACGAAATTGCGTTACATACAGCTTATGAACGTTGCATTGATATTTCAAATGGCACAAGTCCATTTGTACATTAAAACTTTTAACCAAGTGTAATGTAAGGAATATAGAAGTTATTTTCTAACCTGCTGGAAATCATTTTGGGCTGATGCGAAGTCTGAGGCCAGAGTAGGATCTCCTTGGGAAGTTGCTGTCCTTTCACACTCAACCACAGTTTTCTTTTCTGAGTCAGCATTCTCTGGCCGTTTTGGCAGGAAGCCCTCACTTTTTAGAAATTTGACCTAGGTCAGCATAAAACATTAATAGTATATTCACATTTATTAATTTATTCTTCATAATGCAATCTATGCATATATGGATATAACAATGATTGCGTACAGTAAAAGTGCTTTTCACTTTCAGATTTTTTTGTCAAACTTACATTTTTACTGCTGATTTTTATTTTTTAAACAGAAAAACAAACCCTTAGTAGACAGAAATAGAAGATTTATATTTTGAATTCATCTGCTAAAGAGACAAGGCTAGTCAAAAGACAACCTTGCCCAAATAAAATAAAAATAAAAAAATCCACTGCTCAATATGCTCAATAAACCTTCTTACTTGTGTCACACAACAGCTGTAATCCTGTATTTGCATAACTAGTAATGGGTATCTTACTAGGGCGAAATTATTTTGCCAAAAATCCAAATTGCGATTATTTTTAGCCAATACTGCGATTGTGATTTTATTGAGATTTTCCTTTGCACTAAACACAAGTATTTTTCATGACCTTGAAAGCCTGCTTGTCCACAAACCGGTGTTGCAGGACTTCACTGTTACATTTGCATGAAAAAAAGTTCTTACTTCTACTATAAAACATAGATAAAGGTGCTAGCTGCAACTCTCTGTTCCCTTTTGTGCGACAACATGCCCACTTTAATCATATTACTGTCAACTAAAGGGCTGGAAGAAGAAATTATTCTTATTAAATGTTGATTAAAAATGAAGTGCTTCTTCGATTTGAAAATGGCATTTTTATAAATTGTGACTATATTGCAAATGCAATTAATTCCCCAGCCATATATGTTACAAAAAATTTTGGCACTTGGAACAATGTAAAGGAAGAAGGAAAGGAGTCATCCTGCAAAAGTTCCAAGCTCAGGAAGATTGCTCCTCTAAAGACTCTCAGCCTCTGTATACTTGACACCTGCCTCATCACTGCCCTGGCCTACTCCTTATTGAAGGACTGCTTTAATTCAGATACCTGAGAATATTGTGTAGCATAAATTTCTTTGGGGACATGTTACAAGTACAAACCTTCACTCAACCAAACTTCAATTTTGTTGTTTTTAAGCTACTCAGAGGTGAACTTGCTCATTCACTTTGAATCAAAGTCCCTTTGCATAACCGAAGTGCATTGGCCATCTCTGGAAGGGTCACCAACATATTGAGCCTTGCTGGAGTCTAACGTTTTAATAATAGTATTCAAGCTCCTTCAGAGCTGACAAATGTAAATGTGACTTGATTGTGACATGATTTTTATGTTTTAAAATCCTTTAACAAAAGTGCACTTCATGTTTAAGACATCATTAAAGGATTCCTTGACTTTAAAGGTATTATGTCTAAAAATGTAGATAAATTAAACTCTAGTTACCAATTAACATATTTATGAACTGGTAAACTGACCACACCAACTTCAACAAAACAAGATTTAATTAAAAAGCATGAATTTTATCAAATGTTATTCTTTAACCCTTGGCTGTGTATAGCCTGGCACATAAAACCATTGTAATCGTGGCAGTAGTCTTATTGTGGCCATAATAAGGCTGGTTTAGGCGCCTATTTCCCACGATGTAAGCAATCGTTGGCTTAAAACTACAAATATTGTGTGTTTATCTTTATCCAGCACTTAGAATTTTAAAATATAACCATAAAAAACAGCAAAAAGGCAAGAAATCTAAAGGTAGAACCAAAACATTTTCAGATCGTTTCAAAAACTACTAAGAGTACATGTACCTCTGTATGGTCTCCATCGCTTTTAAGTACAGTCCGCTTTACCACTTTGGAGTAACCATCTCCGTCTGCTACGTTGAACTGCCCAGGAGAAGCTCCCTCTGGTGACCTCTGTTTATGCTGTACACCATCAACAGAAACACATTTGCGGACTACTTTTTGCGTAACCTGAGTGAAAAAAAAAAGGCTTTGGTCAATCAATGTCATACATTTAAGTTCAAAACGTTATACTCAAAAACTGGATTTCAATTTAAAACAGAGATTAGAGCATATAAAACCAGCTTTACCCGTTTGACAACTAAACGGCCATTTTCATCCCGATACTGTTCTTCAATCACTGACTCAGTAGCGAGGTCAGATTCTTCAGCAACCTGTATGGGAGACAAAGGAAAGGACGATCAGGCATGGCAGTTCGGTTTAGAATGATATTTGATGTTTATGTTCATAAGAGAACTTTGGGAAATTAGGGAAACAGCAAAATAAAGCATTAAGAGTTGTATTATCAAATAGAATCAGCAAAGACATGCTAACAGCATCATAAACCCAACCCAAAACTTTCAGCCATCTGTGCACACAAAGTGAGTTTTAGTCCTCTAACACATTTCAGACATTCTGTACAGCAGAGAAAAACATCAAAGTCCAAGTTTCCATGCTAAGTCAGGGCACCGAGAGCCATGCTTATTTGGATACCTTAATGACAACCCTCCTTTTTAGTATTTTTGTGGTCAAAAACTCCTCATTTGAATTTTCTGATATTTGTTCAAACTCTGGAGACTTCCTTATCAAGGAATAAGGAAAGTATAAGTTCACAACTGTTTTAGGGAAGTTCCTCTGTGTAAATACTCTGCTTGTGCATTAGAAACCTGGAGGTAGAGTAAAATAGCTTTTAAATGTGTTAGAGGTTACACAACAGAGCTCTTGTTAAAATAAATAAGAAATTTTTGAAAAGATTTAATGCTTAAAACATTTGAATGAATCTATATTGAGCTCTATAAGGAAAAATGTAATCACCTGGTAATAGTGCTGATTAACAGGTGACGTGACATGCTGAGCTAGGTTAAAATTAGTTAATTTTACATAAAATATATTTGGTTCACAACAATATCTTTATTCCTTTTTTCAAGCCAGAAGGTTAGCAGTTGGTTCCCCACAAAAACTCAGCTCTGAGGAAAAAGAAGTTAGTCTTTTTCATGCTCATCTTACCCTTTGTAGAGACTTATCAGTATAGTAATCTCCAAGAGGCTGTGAACTTTTGCACAGAGGGGGTTCTTCATCTAATGTCTCTGGATGCTGAAATGATCCTTTGCTATCTCATTGACTCTGGAGGTATGGCTCAGGAATCAAAGGGGCACTTTCTACTCTTCCTGCTTACCAACATAGCCAGCCTGATGCTGATTTGAGCTTTTTAAGCTACAACGTGTCTGCAGTGCATTAAGTTCAATCTCAGAGAAATCAGACATTCTTTCTTTGCAGTCAGAGTAATGCTTCAAGTCAGAATATTCAAAATTTCAACTGTCCTGATGCAGCATGCCTCATTTGCAATTTCGGGAGGTGTGATGGTATAGGTCAATGATGTGGAGGAGATCTCGGTACCTCCTTATGGGATAATGTACTCCTCATCAGAATCGGATGAAAAAATCTCTGGAAAGAAGGAGACTGAGGGGCAAAACAATCATTGACAACTGGAGCGCAGATTCTTTAGAGTGCTGTTGACAGACTCTTGATATATCCTCTTCAGAGGGCATTTCTCGCTTCTGGGGGAAGGGTAAGGTATCAGTACATCAAAGCTGTAATATTCTGCAATCAAAACCATTTCAGGAGTAAAATCAGGTGCACATTGGGAAAATATGCTTTTCAAAGAAGTTCCATTCCATAAACGCTGATCTTACTAATTCTGGGGAGTTGCCTCTTTTCTCATGCCCCTTGACTCAGAAGATGGCAGAGCTAGACCTTATCCTTCACCAATTGAGTGAGTAGTAACGGTAATGCCTGTGTTAAAAACTATCCAATCTTTCTCCGGTATATCAGGCAATAAAGAAAATATTTCAGTAACGCTCTAAACACTTGCATGGGATTGATATTGGTGATATTTCAGTTTCCCCATCAAATACTATTATAAGTTTAGGTCTTGAAAGGGAATGGTCAAGGTTTGATTTAGAAGCTCTTTTCATGCCAGGAGAGTCTTCTACATTTGCTCTACCTTTTGTAAGTGGTGTAACAGTTAACATATCGACTTTATCCTCCTCTTTGGGTGAGAGTTCTTCATACATGTAAGCTTTTTGCTTTTCAGTGGTATCATCAGAGGACACTGATGCATGTGAATCAAATGTTTCTGCTTAGAACTTGAATTTAATTTCCCCCTAAATTGGACAGGATGTGATTAAACTGAGTAGATCCAGATTTCTGCAGTGTGGGACTGGAGTGTAAGGACTTGATGACAAGCACATTACAATTACCCAGTGTTTGTGGCGCCATAAAATCTGATTCCAAATATTCATATTGTGACTGTGGAAAGCTACTTTGGTTGGTGAATTTAATCTCTTATTTAGTGTTAACTCTGACCAACAAGGGTGCTATAGAGGATCCTATTAATGTTCCATTTACATTATCTGTTTTTAATAGTTTCTCAGCTTGAAAGCCCTGAATCCTGTTCTGTTTTAAGGACTGAGAAATATTGCTCTCGGAAGTTCAAGATGATATCTGAAAGAGATAATATAATTTAATGGAAAAAGAAATACAAAAAAAAAAAAATTGGAGATGTTCTTTGTGTTTCAAAACATAAGAGTAAAGTCTTAGTTAAATGTGTGTTTGTGGCCTGGATATTTATTGAGCTTGTTAAATAATTTCTCCAACAAAGAAAAGATCTTGTGGCTTAATGATGCCTTTGTACAGGCAGGCATCTTGCATAACTTTTTTTTTTTTTTTTTCAGATTGTGTGATTATTTGCAGTATGATAGATGGACACTCCATAGTTTAAGCAGAACAACATTATCACCTGGGGTAAAAACATGCATTTTATTATAAAGGAAGGGCACAAACAAATTGAATTCAAAAATGGAATCCAGCATGTAACGATTGGGCTAATTGGTTTCTTCCACACTTATCAGAGATGATAGTTTTCCCAGATGCTTAACATGTACAAAACATATACAAAAATAAAATGCAGCTTTTAAACAATCAGGACTGTCTTTTTAGGTTCAGATACTCTTAAACAGAGAAAAAAAATGGATCCTTTCCAAACAACAGTTATACCTCTTAACTAACACACATACTCAGATTTATATCAAGCTGAATAACGTCAAACCAGAGGCACCAGCAAACAGTTACCTACAAACAATTCATAATTTCTGCATCTTGATGAAAAATTTTAGATAGTAAAAAATTGTAAGTGGAGAGGTATGCCTGATTTATACTGATAGAATATAAAATTGAAGCTCACCTCATTGTCGTCACACCATGAGGGTTTTTATTAGCTTAACTATATTGGAAAATCACTTTGACAGCTTACCAGCAAACATGCAGGATTAAGGCAATAAAGCCTAACTTGTTCAAAGTCTAAGAAGAATTAATAGTCAGAATTTTTATATTGCCACATTTAAAAAATAAATGAAATCAACAATGCAAATCAGTACAACTGAAATCAGCACAAGCAAGATTTTGTGCTTTCTAACAAAGATCAAGGAACCTTTTTTTTTTTCCTTAAATGCAGAACTCCCTTGAGAAGAAATCTTGAGGATGCTTTTTTCTTTAAATCTCACTTTGTATTTTTTTTTGTTCATGTACATCTAAGCCAGCATGAGGAAACCATTCTCTTACTTTTCCAAATGGCATTTGACTCAACCTGATACTAAGGTAACTACTGATACATTGTGACAATTATGCCAAGCTAAGAAGTTAACAGAAATACCATAAAATATAACCTAAATAATAGAGTTGTTATAACCAACATTGTTTGCATGCAGCAAATGACAGCCCCTTTGTGGCTTTGTGGTAATCAACAATGTTTTAATAGCAAGAAATGAACTGGACAAATGACTCCCCCAATCACAGAATTTAAAATTGAGTTGGGTTTTCTTCATGGGACTGGAATAATAGCTAAAAGCTGATATAAAAAAAAAAAAAAACGGATCAAGAGCGGCAACAGATGCAACTCAATTAAAGGTGTCAGTTTATGGAAAAATCTGTACAATGAAAATAAATCTATTTATTTTTCTTCATTCTGAAAATCATGATTTCTGTTGTTTTGTGTTTTTGAATTGTGTCTGCAAAATCTTAAGGGATGAATATTACCTATTCATCCCTTAAGACTTTTGCAGACAGGATAGGGGATAGATTTAATTATGCTCTTCTTTCTGATCTTTTGTAAATTTCTTATCGTTGTCAAAAGTTCATATCCATCTGTACTATACTGTAACAGTTTAATGCGATATTCTTTAAAAGTTCTGTGATGCACTAAATTAAAATTTAGTGCATCACAGAACTTTTTTTCAAATGGGTGATCTGGAGTCCATGTCACCGTGCAGGATTAACAGCTCAGAGTGAAATCCTCAACTCTGAGTTGATTTAGCGTAAGGTTGGAAACTCTGACTTTCAATTTTCACCACAGCCGCTGTGATTTTATTTAATCAACACTCCACTTAGAGTTGAGCATGTTAGGGACAAATATGAAAAGCCATTATCAGTGGAGCACCAATTTGATGAGTCACCAAGTCAACAGGCAACAGCAAGTGTCTATTTCAACCCAGATTTTAATACAGAAATGAAAAAATGTATATAAAATGTGTTTAAAATAAAGGGAAACAGTGCTAGGAAGAAGAAGATTAATAAGTAAATGTGTAGACTGTTCCGGGTAAAAATCAAATTCCTAAACTGAACTGTAATAACAGATTTTCTAAATGATATTTTTTTGTCTGCAGAAACTTAATTTCAGAAAGAAAAATACACAATTGTACTACTGTAGTAAGAATTAAGTTTTATGTATCTAGAAATGTTAACACATGTTAAGTGGCCGTTTTGAAATTTATCAGATTGACTGAATAATTATTTATGATATCTGAAATACATTTCCTCATAGTCAAAATAATACAAATGCTGACCAGTAACAATAGGAATATAGATATCTGAAATTCATTTCTCCAGAATGTTTATTTTAGATGTGAAGAATGTAATTTTTTTCCCAAAATGCTCATTTTGAGATTCATAATATAAAATAAATGTTTCAAACATAATATATGAAATATAATGACCGTTTAAAAATTCACAGGATTTGTTTAATTTTTCGTATGTTATGGATGGATTATATCAGATGGCTAAAATATTTGATTTCCCTCTGATAACTTTGGCAAATAATGATCAAACGTGACCAAATCCA